CGTATTTGATAAGATGTGGTCTTAGAGATCCCCATCTGATAAGATTGAGTTATTCTATAACTGTAGATTAACAGTGAAGAGTGTGAACACCATGAACAGAATAGTGATTCTTATAGATTATCTCATTAGGTGTACTTCTAGTCAGTTAAATAATAGTGAAATTATCCACTCAGTTATTGGCAAAAATTACTTGATAAGAAGAATAAAACCTTGAGCAACAGAGGAGGGACCCCTCCTCCAGGACAGACATACAATAAAGAAAATTACAAAATAGAGATACAGACAACAGAAGTTGAATAGGAGTGTTATGTCGGAATTACCCTAACTGGTTCCACTGGGGTCACTAGATGTTGTGTAGCATTAATTTTCCACACACAACTCACTTCCTGAATGGTTGACAAATGCAGAACACTGCTTTGCACGCTCTGTTCGTCTGCCTTGAAGCTATATGTGTCAAGCCGTGCAGACCCGATGAGATATTTTCCACCTTTAGGGACAGCAGCTCATCCTGCGTCCTCCGCAGACCTCATCAAGTCTCAATCCCAAAGACAATTAGGACAATCCAATAAGCTTTACTGTAATGCCGACCTTATGCCAAGCCCTGCGACTCTCTTTGTGAGTCCATACTGTCATGGCTCAGTACATAAACACTCCATCCTCAAACTGGACACAACAGAGACGGAATAAATTGATAAATTAAGCTTAAGATTTAGTGAGGGGAAATGGGAGCTTGTGCTGTATCTATGTGGAGTAGGGATGAAGTTTCAGGGATATTCTGGGCAGACACCAATAATTTTCCCCCAGCTGTTAGAGGTGACCACAGGGCTTTATATAAATCAAGGCACTGTCGTACAATTTATGCAGTGAGAGTTGAATAGAAAGCTCAAGGCATCCCTGTGAATATCCACACCAAACTACAGGGATCAGATTACTAAAACTAGTATTCTGTCACTTCCAACTAAGGCCGTTACCCGAGTGAGCCGTGCCAGTTGGTGTGCCCTTGAGTGAGACAGCGCCCCACTAAGCACATGTCGATCTGGGGATTACATTCAGGGGTTTAGGAGGGGAAACGAGGCCGTAATCTGAAACTGTTGTGTCTTGTTGCTGTGCACTTTTCTTAATGCCATGCTATCATGCAGCATGCGTTGGTATTGTATGACTGTTGCCCGAGGAAGTTCAGCTGGGGAAACTATTTTTGTCTCACCAGATGAGTGCTGCCCCAAGTTTTATTCCTCGATAATTTTATTTTTTTTAAGCATCACAATATATGCTAGAGGTTTTGATTAAGCCTGCTGTTAGAAGAGGAGCTCAATATTCTGGGAAATACGTGAGAAGATTGGCACCAGTCGTATGTATGTAGGATAAACATGGCGCCATAGCCACGGCCGGTTAACTTAGCTTAGCATGAAGACTGGAAACAGGGGGAAACAGCTAGCCTAGCTCTGTCCAGAGTCCACCTACAACCACCTCTGAAGCTCATTAATTGACGTGTTATATCTCGTTTGTGTAAGTGGTCCCATGTAGGCAGCTGTTTCCACTTTCTGGTTGTGGCTTCATATCTAATTCCTAGCGAGAGAGTGAATATGGGTATTTTCCAATATGTCGGCCAATTCCCTTACATTAAAGGATCATTTTGTTTATTACAGCTTGTTTTGGTTTTTTTTAGATCTGAAAATGCAGCTCATAAAAAAAAGTTTGGCAGGGCAAAGAAACACAGCAACCAGAGGATTGATTAAAGATCCTGCACACTGACTCATCTTCTCCTATTGAAGTTGAAATCAAGTTCCAACTAAGTTCAAGATATCATGGTGAAACTAAACCTGCATATCAACAAATGTCAGCCCTGGTCTGGTGACAGACGTACTACATCAGGGCTCAATAAACAGATAATGTTGATTGGCTCCATGTTCAAGTGAAATAAGAGTTCAAGCCCCATCACGCTCCAGAAAGCACAATATTGACAAATTATTCTTCAAGCAGGTCAAACGCTCTGCTCTTAGAACAGATATTGAAATGTTTGCCATGTGTTGTGTTTCCCCCTATGATTATCCGCCATGCCAGCATGAAAATAGCTGGGGCTTATCCCGGTATTACCATGCCATTATATAGCACTAATTAAAAAATAAAGCATTTCTACTCTTGCCCAGCTGCTATTAGACCCTGTTTAGCCTACAGGTTTGCTTTGAAACGCTCCCTCATTACAGCGCCTCAAAGAAATATCATACAATAGCGAGTTGAAAAGGGCAATGCTTGAATGGAGTCTTAAAGGAGAGGCTGTACTTGGCCTTCAAGTATACATTCCTTCAGCTCAGTGCTTCCTCTGTGGTCCCGCTCCCCTGGCCCACCCCCCTCCCACTCAAGACTCAGTTCCCACAGGGGACTCGGCCAAAGCAAACTCCTCAGAGGAAGTCTCCCTCTCTTACCAGTGAGAGGGAGAGAGAGAGAGAGGGATGTCCTATCATCTGGCTCATTGGGACCTGCTAGGCAGTAGGATGTGCGAGGAGGGTGTTATGACTCCCTGGCCATGCTATGTCTATGATGTGGTGGTGAGTTAAGCCTGTGCGGCTGCTCTCCTGTGAGGTCAGTGTCAGATTTAGCCAGCAGGTCCCTTGTGGTGTCTGGGAGTGTCTGTTTTCTGACTCTATTATGTCTAGCACTCATAGCCTTCCTGGAGCTACAAACCTCAGGGTAGAAATAGTACCAGACAGGCAGACATCCTTTGTCGGGAAAACAACAGTCACGTCAGTAATTACAGAGTCTGATTACAGCAGGGCAGCAGTTCTTAGAAAACCACCGGCCTTGAGTGAGGCAGGTGAGGGGTCGAGTCACCATTGCTGAGCAGCACGCAGTCAGCAGGAGGTCTGGGTTAAAAGAATTAACCTACAGTAGCAAAACCAAACAGCATGCTCTGTGTGTGTGTGTGTGTGTGTGTGTGTGTGTGTGGTGTGTGTGTGTGTGTGTGTAAATGGGTGTGTGGGTTATGCGGTTACAGGTTAGATTATGAGTCAGGGATAAACGAAGGGAGTGTCCAGACAAACATGTCATGTATATCTCATGAAGCAAAAAACCAACCGTATGAAGAGGCAGAATAGAAATGAGAAGTTATAATACACTTTGATTTTAGCTGTGTATTAATTGGTACATTACTGCATGTTCCACTATTTAGCACTTGACAAATTAATAAATGCTTATCTGCTTACAAGTAAATTATAGTGTGTTAAAAACCATAAATTATATACCGTATAGAATCAGATAAATATATGAAAATAAAGAGAAGAGCTCTTCAGGTAGGTTTTTAAGATATCAATAAAGGAGGAAGATATATATATATACTAATGAGGGACAACATTTAACTGGTAATGTGAAATGAAGAGCAGTCATCGGTCAGCAGATCTGAGGTCTGAGGGGTCTCAAAGTGGCCATTTTACAATATAGTTAAGTCTATAAAATGCCAGAAAATAGTGAGGAATGCCCATGGTGACGTCTTAAAATTGCTTGGTTTGTCTATTCAACAGTCTAAGACCCGAAGATATTGAATTAACAATGTTCTACAAGAGAGAAAAGCAACAAATCCTCACATTTGCAAAGCTTCAACCCGAGAATAAATGTTATTTTGGCTTGATAAAGGATCTAAAAGATTGATTAAAATGATTATTAAACTATCTGGAGTTTAGGTACACAGTACCAGACTTGACTAACATCTCCACCCTTGAGCACACTGTACCACAAACACACCCACTCCTCTACACACACATACACACATACCCTCCCACACACACATATGCATGTCTACACCCGCACCCACCCACCTCCCCACGCGTCCCAACACCCACTCATAGCTGCATGTGCACACACTTATGCAGCGTCTGGCTTCGTGTAGAAAAGCTGAGAGACGTGATTCATTACCAGCCGGGCTTCTCGCTTAATGCTAAATGAGGTTTGTCATTAATTTCCATCTTGAGGTGATTACAGTGAGCAGCGATTAAGGTTTCACAACTACACGCAACCCCGCTGGAGTGTTTTCCATTGAGGATTTTCAAGGTAGACAGAGTAATCGTTTGTCTTGAATCGCACACGCAGACAAGGAGATGGGAGTGTTTGCCATTCCTTCAGGCAGAATGTCATAGTAGTGAGTAAGAGAGTAGCAGGCAGGTCTGTGCTGGCCTCTGTATCTTCCCAGGTAAACATATCCTCTGTCTGGCAAGTGCAGACCTGAGAGCTGAGGAGGTTAGCTATCTCAACACATGGTCCTACAGCTTGCCACACACACAGACATACAATATATACAATTAGGGGCTCTGGAGATTCAGTATTTTATGGTACTTAACAAGGCAGATGCTTCCCTCCTTGGGTTTTCTAAGCGCAGTCAAACATTTTATGACTCGGTAGCCCTGCGTTAACATGCAACTCTCCCCGAACACTTCAACTCAATCGTCTGTCAGATCTGAGTGCAATTACTTTAATCCGTCTCCCTCTCTGTCTCCCTCTGTCTCTATATTGCAATATTTCTGTGGTTCGGGGAGTCGATCTGCTCCACCTGATGGCGCCTCTTCTGCCTGGCAGGGAGCAATGTAGTCCTACTGGCTGCCAGCCAGACCAGCTTGAGTGTCTGCTCAGCTCAGCCCTGCACACACACACACACACACACACACACACACACACACACACACACACACACACACAAACATGCAGACATGCCAAGCTCAGAGACTGAACGCTTACACAGACGCATCTTCTATCCTCCTTGTCTCGCTGTGACTTCGTTTGTGTTTGTCTAATATTTTTCTCCTTTCTGTGACTTTCTGCTGTATAAAAGGTCACATCATGTTCTGACAAATCTGTGTGGAGGTTATGAATAATGCCATTTTACAGTCATACAGTAGCATTTTTAGAAGTTGTGGGCTCTTGAAATATCCACTGTACTCCATGATGTAATATCTACTCTTCTATCTCTGCAAAGATCATGATGATTAACCATCTATTCTCTCTCTTCTCCTCAGTCTCCCAGCCCCGTCCCAGCCAAGAGGTCCAAATTCGATAAATTACAATCACCACCAGCTGACAAAGACAGGAAACCTGAATGGTTACAATCGCTGTCAAAGTCCGCACACAAGGTTTGTACGCTGCGTGTTTATGTTCATGAGTGTGAAACCGGATTTGCTGTTAAGCTCAAAGGTCAAAGGGGTGACATAAAAGCTGTTGTCCTTTTGAATCATCACATTATCATCTATGTACGACCCCTCGTCATTCTGCCTTGTTAAATGAAGAGGGGGCTTTCAGTGTGTTTGTCATGGCTGATTTAATGTTCTAGTGGCAGTTTACTGTGAGTTTATTCAAGCTTGTTGTTTTGTTTGTTGTTACAGGATCTGAAACAGGTCCAACTGAAACAGAGGCCCTCCGCTTTCCGCCCCTGGTCTCCTAAAGCAGCAGAAAAAGAGAAACCGGCTACTCAGAATGAGGTTGAGAGGTGAGGCATCTGAGGAAAGCTGTGATAGTTTAAGTTTTGAAGACGAACTATGTGTTAAATTAGCCAATGAAATGCTTTAAATGTACCTGTATTGCCTCCACAGGTCTTACTCAAAGAGTCACGAGACTTTGGCGGTTCCCAATCTGACACTAGCTCCCCTGGCCCTTCCGGTCCATCCTAGGGACAGCAACGCTCCTGGCAGGGGGCCAGGAGCCATTTCCAGGCCGCTGCAGGAGCTGCATAATGGAGATACACAACCTGCAGCAAAACCAGCCCCCACTAGTACCGCTAACCGACCCGAAGACATGGACACAGATGGAGAGATTGATGTGGATGACTGTGATGATTGTGAGTAGCCCACCAACCATCGCCCTTGAGTTTGAAATAATCCAGAGAAACCAATTGAGCACAACAAGAGTCAGTAGATATAAGACAAACAGATTTTACAGTAACAACTTGTATTACACAGTAAGCCCCATTGGAAGTAAGCCATAGCAGATCTGGTTCAGGGTGATTCCTGTGCAACTCCGCCACCTGGTGTTTAAAAGAATGAATACAAGAGAGATAAAAGTTGTCTGTAAATTCTGCTGTTATGTGTATCCACAAAAGACATCCAGTTCTTCTATTCATTGTAGCATTTATTATTTGTTTGTATTGTTTTGCAACAGGAGCTTTAGTAAAGAAGTTTTAGTGTCATGCTTAGTCTTTTCTATACATACATGCTGCCATGAAATATGATCTGTATGGATGCTTTATCACAGTGATTCCCAACTTAGGTGGGAATATTGTATAGTAGCTAAACTAGGTTGAAATAACAACTAAAAATCACAATAAAAAGCTCAATACCTACAGATTCAGTCAGCTACAACACCTGAACATCACATATTGTGAGAGAGTGTGAAAAAACTAAAGATGCATTGTTAAAATACAGATAGATAAAAGTAACGGAAATAGATAAAAAATAATAAATAAACAGATCATATATCTGATTGAAAGTCATGGATAAACCATGGCAATAGTCAACTACTTAAATAGCCTAAACTATGGTTAAATATCATCCAATTTAACTAAGAAATTAGAAGAATGACGGATGGTGTTGATTAAGGGGTACGTTTTCTCTCGCGATTATTGAGAATTAACACAACAGCATTCTTGCAAACGCTGTCCTAATAATGTTAAATCTCTCTCTTCCTCAGGTCCACTGCCAGCTTCCTCCCTGGCTTCGCCTCCGTCAGCCTGCACCAGCGTGTCTCAGACTCTGACTCCTCAGAGTGTTGCTCGACCTCAGGAGGGACCCACCTGGCTGTCAGGCACTGTTAGCCCAGAGATGGACACACTGAGACAGATGCTGTACGGAGGCATGGACACCAAAGAGGCCAGAGAAAAAGTCCTGCAGGAGATTGTCAGGATGAGAGTGAAGCAAGAGGAGAAGCTGGCAGCTGCTGTGCAAGCTAAACGCAGCCTTCAGCAGGTACATAATCATGTTGTGTTCTTGTGAAATATATTGTGGTAATAGTGAAATTACAGTAATCTCTGAATGCATATTAGTGTTTTAAAGATGACATAATTATGTTGATTCAGGAACTGGAGTTTGTGAGGGTGGCAAAGAAAGGCCGTCTTCGTGAGGCCATCGAAGCCAAACGCAACCTGCGAAAGGAGATTGAACGCCTTCGTGTGGATTGGGAGAGGAAGATGAGGGACACGGAGGAGTCTTGTGGGCGGCTGAAGAGAGAGTTGGAGAGGGAGAGACAGCTGCGAGTCTGTGACAAAGGCTGTGAGGCCGAACGTCTCCGGGTCAAGTACTCCACTCAGGTAAGATGTCTGCAAGACGCCCATAATCACCAAAACCACCTTTACATTGTCTGTTTATGTGTTATTTTTGATCCTGTCTCTAATTTGTGTGTCTGTGTTGGGCTTTGTTGTTGTGCAGATTGAAGAGCTGCATGTGCAGCTACAGCAGGCAGAAGCTGATCGTGAGCAGCTGAGACAGGAGCTTCAGCAGGAGAGAGAAGCTCGGCAGAGTCTGGAAAGCGTTGTCAAAGATCTGCAAACCCAGCTGGCTCTGCAGGCCGACAGCAGCCATCCTGGAGACTCCGAGGACGCAAACACAGACGCACACAGACAGACCACACAGCACACCAATGGATCCTAAAGTTGCACATTCAAAACTGGAGAAAAAGACTCGATAAAAAGGAGCATGGTTAAGGACTTTGGTGCACCTCCTGTTAGGGAAAAGAAACTCAGCAAAATGCAAAGTCAGTTTTGTAGAGGAAAAATCTGTCATATATAATATGATATGATATAAATCAATATTATTATGACAATATATGAATTTTTATGAAATGAACTGGAAAGTAGCATGATGTCTGAGCATGTTGTAGAGCGTGAAATTAAGAAAGACTGAACACATCTCTCCAGTGACGTCAGAGCCCTCGGTTAGACACCTGACGCTGTCCAAGGATTTTATTTTGGTATAAGCTATTCTAAGATGTGCAAATATAGCCACATAACACTACTTGAATATGAAGGGAAGAAACATGTTGCGCCTGGTGAAACATGAGCAGATGATGAAACTCTTGGTGCCACAAAATTTTGGTACACTCAACGGTGTCATTGCAGACCACTGGAAACAAGAGACACCAGTTTACCACTATTTACTTTTAATATCAGCTTGCTTTTTATAACTGTGTAGAGGATGTACTTTTTAAGAAATTATTGCTTGCGCAGCACTGTTATTCCACAGGCAAGAAAAAAACATCCATATACAAACATGTACGCATGTATACCAGCTTGTCTACCTTTTGTATTTTATAAACCTGAAGTATTGGAGGTTACAGGTGGGCTGCCTTCAGGTCCACCACTGTTTTATGCTTAGATATTTTATGGAAGTGTTACTTTTTAATATTATGATGCAACTTTATTTGTTGTTTGAACATTGTTTTTCCAGGAATGTTTCTGCAACCAAACCATGTGATAAATATTCTTGCCCACGTTAGTGCAGATAAGTCTACAAATGCCCTCCTAAAAGAAAAAAAAAAACTTCGATAGCTGTCTGTTTTTGTTGAAACGCGGTACTTCTGATTTTCTATTGAGTATTGTAAAATAATTTATATTCTATGATAATTTGCTGCCTATCAAAAGAAAGCATTCATTTTTAGTCACTGGTTTTAGGGCTCTTAAATCAACAAATGCTGTTTATATGAACAACATTTCTACATATATACAAAATATGGATATATATTTTTTTACTTTAAGAAAAGGAATTGCACTTTTTAAAAGAAAAACACCTTGCATTGTGCATTGTACTCCCTGTTACATTTTTCAAAAAAAAAAAACAAGTTAACATGAACTTTGAATTTAGACACACTTTCCCTCAGTATCCTCTGATGTAAATACAATGATATTGTAAATAAGATATTTGTTGGTATGTTTGCTTGCTCCAGACTTTAATTGATTATGAATATTATTTTTTGCTCTTACTTGAAACCAAAAAGAGACTATATTTGGATTTGCAAAACTGCAATTTCATAGTTGTATCCCTGAGCATCATTGCAATCACAGGGCATTTAGCAGAATGGATGGACTGCTGACTTGTTGGTTTAAACGAGGAGAATGAAACCATCAATGGTCGTGAACTTGACCTTTCAGTAGTTTTTCTAGGTTTGACACACCAACAGAATATTATAATTTGTCCTTTGATTTTGTTTATTTGAGAAGATCTTTATTATTTGATTAAATATAGAGTATATATTACACCACAGACCAAAAACTAAAAATTGGATTTGAAATCTCTGCACCTCCAGCTCCCTCGCCAGATAGAGTAGAAGCAACACCTTCCTGTGGTTTCAACCTTAGGTGCTCTCGTATATTTTAGACAATAAACACTTTTATGTCTTATCATTATGATACCCTTGCTCAGTATTTTGTTGGGTACAGTGTAATAGCAATATCCATTTTGTTAGCTGATGCTGTTGTAGTTTTGGTTTGGAAGTGGGGATTCACTTGCCTCCTGTTTCAATGTTTTCTTTTCCTTCGGAAAACTTGTATGATACCCATTAAAATCTAAATCAATCCTAAGGTTCTAAGACGTGTTTTTTTTTTCCCTTATTGTTTTTACTACAATGGAAATTGTTGTATGGATAGCCATGAAACATTCATGGTTCCAAGACAATGAATCCTAATAAGTTCGGGGATCCGCTGACTTTCCATCAGGTAAACATTAAGTCCATTACTTCGGTTTATGACCAAATACTTGCTAAACTAATCACATTCCGATCAGCCCCAGATGTACTTTGTGTTTAGTGCTTTTAACAAACGTTAGCATGCTAACACACTGAACTAAGAGGATGACCTAGAAAGTGTTGTATTTGCTTAACATGAGCATGTTAGTGAGTGTTACCATGCTGATGTTAGCATTTAGCTCAAAGCACCACTGTGCTGCTAAAATGGCTGCATCCTGTAGTCCTAACAGATAGACAGAAAATCCTTGAATTGTGTGGCTACTATTGTGGAAAATACAAGGTAATATATTGTATGGAAAACAGTGTAAGCAATTAGCCTATTCATCATTTTAGAAAAAAACACATAGGCCTATACTGAATGATTTAATAGGAGATATAATCCAAAGACAACAGTTGGAAGTGAATTTATTTATATGATCACAGCAGATAATCTGTCATTGTAGGAAAAGCACAGGTGTCACTAATAGCATTAAAATATTGTATTTAAGTGTCCCAGTAAGCCATTGTGTCACAGTGTGACAGTGAGCCAGCGTGATCCTGCAGCCAAAGCAGCTAAATGGATTGATTCAACCAAAATTAATTATATGTTTATTTACACCGGTGCTTTTCGTAATGAAACGTAACGTTTGCTGTGAAAAAGGCCTTACAAACAATTCAAAGTTGTGATGTCAGCCACATTTCAACTGAGCAGTCAGCCAGGCACACCCGGTATTTATTGTTGTTTAGTAACACTGCTACCTTTTCCAGATGAGCGTTTTATAGGCTCCACACAGGTGTTTTCACTTATACTGGCTGATTAGATCTCTGCTCATGCAGGTTGAAATTGGATGGAGCTGCTGGGAATTATGTCCTATACCCAGATTGATTCAAAGTGTTGTACCGCACACTGCAACAAGACATACAGAAGAATGAGGAAGTCCTCTCTGTGCATGCACAAATAAACAAAAAAACATATGTATACATTTATTGTATGTCGCACAGTTGCCTCTAGGGGGAAATCATTGCTCACAGTTAAAGGGTGGACACTTCTAGCTTGTTAATGCACCAGTTTAACTATAACCTTTATATATGATCATGTCTATCCTTAAAGAAGTCTATTCAATTTACTGTAATTTCTATATTCTTTGATGGTTAGGGCTGCCATAAGAGTAGTTAAATGAATATTTGCACCCTTCCTTCCTATCCCACTCTTTCTTCAGAGGCTTACTGGTTGCGTGGAAATCCCTCCATGAAAGCAAGGCTGAAGCCTCGCTCCAGGATTACAGCTTGAGGAAGATTTAGTGACTGACACATGTTGCAAACTCTTTCTTTGTGAGTCCTCTCTCAGTGCAAAAATATATATATACGGAAGAACCCATGGCTACTACAGTGGATCACTGGACACAGTATGACAAGGAATGAGCCTTCAGGATGGGAATATTGTTCCCTTGTCCAATGCGGGAAGACTTCAACTGGAAGAAGAGGATATGCTGACACTTCTGCATGAGAGAAGCTGTGCTATAAACAAACTTTGCTGAAGAGACCAGCAGAGTGAGGGGGAAGGAGGGTTCATGTGGTGTGAATGGGACAGGAGAGCTGGACTCAAATGCACAGTTCAGGGATGAACAGCACCCCAGCGATGGCACCTCTGTCTCCAGGGCTGAGTGGCAGCCCACCACTGTCCTCGATGTCACCCAAGAAGGCCACCTTTCAATCATTGGGATCTTTGTCAGCAGGAAGGTTCTCGCCCTCGCTTGCTAAGGGCTCCTTTCATCAGGCAAAAAAGGCTTCGAGTCCCTTGAATTCTCCCAGCCCGTCCATTATGAGCTCCCCAAAACTCTGGCAGAAAGCATCCATCTCCAGGCTGGCAGAGGAGTTTTTCTGGATTGGTGGCAGCGTGGTTGCACAGCCAAAATGGAGACTGGGTCAGATAGGTAAGATTCACTAATGGCTTGTTAAATGATATTGCTTTCAGACACTCAAATTACTGCAGTATATCAACAGGTTGTTGAGCAGAAGGGCCTACAGGCTGCTGCAAACTAAATTATTTTTAAATAATTTATCCTCTCTATCCTCCATTAATGATATTTTAAACCCAGGATATGTGAATTTAAGAGCCTAACCATTATGTTTTCTTGCCTCTAAAATGTGTGAGTTTCCAACAGACCAGAGTAGAGTTGCAGGGAAGCCTGTGAGTAGATAATGGGCATATGGACAGTAGACAATCCTTTAGGATTAGCCTGAATGATGTGCCAGGTTGCGTCACACATTTCTGAGCTTCAGATTACAAACAAAGGTTACCTGCTCACAGCACACAAAACAATCACATTACTTCACCCTGACTTAAATGTTAAGAAAGTAGTTGGATGTGACACGCTATTTTAAGTCAATCAATATGCACACGCTATTTATTTTGAAAGAAATGTCACCAAAGAAAAGTCAGCAGAAACAATTCAAATCGCTGATCATTTGTTTGTTAGACAGAGATCATTGTGTGATTGTGTATCTTTTCCTTCTTTCCCTCTTATCATTAACACATACTTTACAGCTACTTAAATCCCTGTGTGACGCAGCCTATAATCTCATAAACAAGTGCTTGATGGTAAACCACTACTTGTCTCAGCTGCTTCAGCGAATCCATTGGTGTTGTTATAATGGCTTCCAGCACATGTACTGCAGTAGTTCATACAAAGGATCTCAGCAAAATGTAGCAATAATAATCATAATCAACAAGTGATCTGCAGAAGCTCTCTCTCTCTCTCTCTGATGTTGGCAGTAGATAAATGTGATGATCCCTTTGACATATATAGAAGGATAGTCACTTGACTCGTGATAAATTAGGTGTCTCCTTGTGCTCTTCTGCAGTGGAGAGGTGTATGTGCACCATGCAGACTGGCACTCAGATGACTAAACTGAAGGGGAAGAAGAAAGGACTGGTCCGATTCTTTTACCTGGACGAGCACAAGTCCTGCATCCGGTGGCGGCCCTCCAGGAAACATGACAAGGCCAAAAGTGAGGCATCACTGCTCTGAATTTTATTTATTATCAGCACTGATCACAAAAGAGTAACTACTGTATAACCAGTAACTACTATAAAACCAGTAACTACTATATAACCAGTAACTACTGTATAACCAATCACCATAATTAATAATGAACAGAACTTTTTCTTCTCTCTGTGGGACAGCTGTTTAAGTGAGGCTTGCACTTAAACCTATTGGTGTATCTTGTTATTGTAAATTACACATTATAGATGTTCACCTTTGACCCCTGTGGAGTCAGAAAGGTTGGTGACATGGATTGACAGTTGAGCAAAAGTTACTCTGATTTGATCAAATGTTTGTTGTTTCTTTTATTTACACCAAGAAAGTTACATACTTTAGTGAAAATATGCCGTACATCCATATTTTAAACTAATAAGTGATTTTCAGAGGCAGATAAATGGAAGTGAATCACTTGTTCAGTCACAAATACTTAATTTAAAATGATGGCTAGCTGTGGATGACCCATGGTACTTTTCTTGACCATCTGTTTCAGTAAGTATTGATTCCATCCATGAAGTCTGTGAGGGGAAAAAGTCAGAGATATTCAGGCGGTACGCAGACAACCGCTTCGACCCAAACTGCTGCTTCAGTATTTACTACGGGGAGCGTGTGAAGTCCCTGGACCTGGTCTCCACCAATGCAGAGGAGGCCCGCACCTGGGTCACCGGGCTGAAATACCTCATGGCTGGTATCAGTGATGAAGACAGTTTGGCCCGGAGGCAGCGCACCCGTGATCAATATCCTTTATGCAGCCTCTCATACACATGTTTAATCTCTAAATGATTACAAATACAACACATTCAAATAATGGACTAGCTACACATTCATTTGTAAAGAAGTTAAGAATAATCTAACATCAACATACATGAAGTTACTTGATCATGATCCTTGTAGTTTCTTCCTTAACTGCAGCCTTACGTGGTTACAGCAGACTTTCTCTGAGGCCGACAAAAACGGAGATGGCACCTTGAGCATGGGAGAGGTTCACCAGCTGCTCCACAAACTCAACGTGAATTTACCCAAACAGAAAGTCAGGCAGATGTTTCAAGTAAGACTTAAATCTACAAAAGGTTAATTATGCAAGTTGTCATAGATGTAATGTGCATGATCCACCATCAAAGCTACCGCTGTACTCTTGTGTATGCAGAAAATCTATCAGTAATAGCTCCAAACTGGAAATGTTGTGACCAAAGTTATTTACAATTAATGCTGAGGGAGACATAATATCCATACAAAAGTTGTTGAGACATTTCACTGAAAACCACATTTGTCATCTTCATGGTGGCGCTAGAGGTAAAAGTCAGATGATCACCAGAGTCAGTAGGATTCATCCCCTGGGCACCATGAATGTCTGTACAACATTTCATGGCAGTCCTTGTTGAGATATTTCAGTCTGGACCAAAGTGTAGGAAATACAACATTGCCTTGCTGTAGAGCCACACTGCCAGCATTGCTAAAATTTAATAAATAGGTTTGTATCTATCTGGCACAAAATGCTTCTAAACTAGAACAAATAAATTATTTCTTAATGTTTCAGTGTTATGGGTAAATGCCCTTCCGCAACTGAAAATTAGTCTGAAAAGGATAAAAGAAAAGTGGTCAAAGGCGCAATATCCTTGACGTCGATCATCACATAATTTCAGTTAGTGAAGCAGTAAGACAAAAGCATGGAGCCAGCAGACAAACATGTATATACGGTATTTTGGCAGGGCAGTGCAGGAGAGTGGCACAGGAAGACCATATGGCCACCGCTGAACAGATGGCTTTAGTTGCACTGCAATATTGCTTTAGTTCAGTAACTCACTGTCCTCCC